CCGTTGGAGCATACATGTCGTATGCGTAATATGTGCAACAATTTTGAAGCCTGATTTATATGGCAAATACTTTTTTTTTGCATAAATTCTTTGTTGTCGTCATATTGTGATTCCTATTGGCCTAAATAAACCACAAAAATGACTAGAATGCTAATAAAATCAAATTGAAACCACCAGCAATGCGTATTCATGAATTTCCATATTCGTAAGCAACTGCTCGAATTTTGAAATTTCGGAAGCGTATCGTTTTTTTGCATTCCACGAAATGTTTCTGGTCAATTTTAGAAGCCGAGTGGAACCTAAATCATCTCTTTCTTGGGCATTTCAATTTTGATAAACTTTTTTTATTTTGGTCGTTTTCATTTGCAGCATCTTTATAGAGCGTTTGTGAAAGTTTCAGCACACGCTAACAATTGAAGTCCGTTTTGCGCTATTGTGGACGATATAGGCCCACCGGGCATACCTCTAACTGGTCAGGCGCTGCTAATTTAAATTTTATTTTTGGCAATTTGGCGCCGTTTTTGATGACACGCTCGTTTTATGACATTGATAGGACCGATTGACGCTGTTGACACTCATTGATATTCATGTCATGTCGTCGTTCAATAATAAAAACACAAGTACATAAATAAAAAATAAAGGTAAATAAACGCAAAAGGGTTTTGCTAATGGCACGGCCGCTTCGAACGACTGACTGGATGATGGTGGCACAGGCACGGGCACGGCACAGGCACGGGCTGTCTCCCAAACATTGGACACTTCAGTGCGTATGGGTGGCCGCCCCCTCCCAGATGTCGGCCGCACTCTTACTGCTGCGGTACCGCGCTAGCTGGTTGGCTGCCTTCAATACTAAAGGGCCATAAAAATTGCGTTGATGGCTGTGACGTGCCCGCATGAACTTCATGAACTCCCCCGATCGGTGCTGTCAGTCGCACGCCCTGGCATATGAGCATACCCAGGAATACTCCAGTGAGGATGATGCGGATGAGGCTGTTATATGTTTGCATTAAAGGTGCACTGTTGGCTTTAAAGCAGAAGTCAAGTGCTGCACCGTGGCGCTTGCATTTCAATTAGACGCCGCTTGTGCAGCCAGCAAAATGTGCAACAAAATTAAAATGCGCATTTATGCAGATTTGCGCATTGAAACTGTCACTGCTGCTGCTGGTGCTGCTGCTGCTGCCTCCAACTCCTCCTGCATCTGCATCTGCATCTGCTTCTATGGTGTCGAAGACGGTGGCGGGGCTGTGCCGGGAGGCCAAACGAACACACAGTAGTAGCTACCTGGCTGACTGGTTAACAATGCCTGCCAGACTATCCGCCTGGTAGCATAATGCGTGCCAGCCTGGCAGGCTCTAATTATTTTTCTGCTACTGTTGCTGCATCAGCTCTTCTGCCAGCCGCTCCCTATAACCTGCGCCTCTGCTCGTTCTGGCGGTGCATCTCTGCCTTTTTGTGTGCCGCCTGCCAGCACCGTCTGTCTGCACAATAAACAGGCAACATAGAGAAACACACAAAGCGAGCAGCCTCTGCTCGACTCTGGCAAGCCCAAGTTTCATGTTGCATTTGCATAATGAACTGTTTGCTTATGTTTCGTATCATAGCCTGGGCCTAGCCCGGCGTTCTAACCAAATTGTGTGCGCTCTATTATTCCCTGTAAAATGGGTGCAAAAATGAAGTTAATTTTGTGGGTGTACAAGTATGTGAAATAGCCAACTGAAGGAGCTCCGCCCAAACTTATTAGCACTACTTCAAACAGTAGACGATCCAGCTTAAGGTATGTGCAAGTTTTAAAGAAACTTTTTCCCCTTCGGACAAATTCAGTCATGGCTATGATTTCACAAAATTATTATTTCGACTAATCCATAGGCTCCTTCCTCACCTTCTGTTCTATTAATTTAAAATAATCTTGAGAAACTGCGAACATTTTTCGGATATCTATTGTAGAATAATTCTAATTTGGTACGAAGAAATGTTCAAAAAGTTGGCTTACGTAATTTAATTTCAATTTATTTGATTGGCTCTATATACAAGTATGTGATATTTGCTGGTTGATGTAAAATTACAAATTGTTGTACAATTTAAATTATACAAGTGAACAAGTTTGTTGCACTAAATAAAAAAATAAATACAATTTAAAAAAGATTGGCTTGACTTGAATATATATAGTTTCGAATAAGAAAACAATTTTCTTTCAAAATAACAATAATAATCAATAACAGATAATGAAGTTCGAAACGTCCTTTGAATTAAGCACCTTGCTTAATACATAAGGATATTATCAGATAGATATTAGACAGATTCAGATTATTAGATATTTCATTGCAAGATAGTTCAATTATTTATTTGCATATCGGTGAACATTTTCAAATGCGTTAAGTACATTGCTTCAATATTTAATAAGGAGCGTTCGAAAAGTTTATTGCCATATAAAGTACATTTAGAACCATTAAATAGAAATAGAAATGGGTGCCACGGCTTCGTGAACAAGAATTGACCAAACATATTAAATTGCACATCGCTTTTTCGAAGTATAAAATAAGCATTTTTTACAGGAACTTAAATTTTAGAAGAAGTTACCATTCTAGTTTCGAAAGATGCAATTACAAATAACGCCGTCAGAACACAATCCATACAGTCAAGGGCGTAGGCAGGGGGGATAAAAAATTCTTCCATATAAAGTCGACCACACGTTCATTATTATGACGCCCTATTTCGACATAAAATGGATCTGAGTTGGATTTGTAGAAGTTTTTCCATTGATCATATGCATAAGTTATATTTTAAATGCATCGTGCATTATTTAACCAACATTTTAATTTGTGGGCCCCCCCTTTGGTAAAAGCTGCCTACGCCCTTGCATACAGTAATATCCTTAATCGATGATAGTGCTGTATATTAATCTACCTAATCTAATGTGATTCAGCTAAGCTGTGCGGACAAAGAAAATCCCCATCACAAATACTAAAAGTAATTTATTTCGCCCGTAATAGGCAATTCATACATTTGAACTACTTGTAATGCATTTGGGTCAACATGCCCCTGTTCTCTTAATACTTGTACTCCTATTCGAAATGCATTAATTTCTCTCACATAGTTGCCACTGTAGTTCACGTAATGTATTAAAAATCATGTCATATGCCGAACATATTTGCACACTGGCATCAAAACCAGAAGCAGTGCAGCACGGCAACAGTGCTCACAAATATATGCATGTATGTGCATGTTTGGAAGCTAACCCCTTATTGTCAGCAATTCCCATTTGCCATTTTCAATATATATTTTTTTACCATTATAAGAAGACAAGAGACAAAATAAAATAATACAAATATAATATAATATAAATAATACAAATACAAGACGCAATGAAGAGACACAGCAAGTAGCTACAACATATAATAAAAGTAATATGCTACGCGCAAATGCATTTGCTGCCAAGAATATCAATTTCAATAAAATATATGTGCACGCCTCTGCCGCCCCAAACACTCCACACACCCCAAACACCCGAAACACCCCAAACACCCCAAACACCCAAACACTCCACACCCCCGACGCACACAAACTCAGTGGAATGCGAGCAATTTCGAAAGTGCATGCCGCCTCAGCTTTGGCTTGATTCGCTCCTTTTTCCTCTGCTCACACTTTTGCCAGTTTTCCTGTTTCTACCCTTTTCTTCTTCTTTTTTGTGGAAATTGTCAATACGGCCAAGGGAAAACTAACGCCCGTTGTGCTTTTGTGCCTTTGATATCGTCTCTCATGCTGCTTTTCGAATGTTTGCTTTGTATTTTTAAGAAATTATTAAAACGATTCTTTGCAATTCATATAAAAACAAGAAAAGAATGCTAAAGTCGAGCAAGCTCAACTCTCAAATACCCTGTACCTGTATCAGAATAAAAAAATAAACTTGACCTGCCTAGGGCTTAGAGGAACCTATATACAAAGTTTGGTAATTCCAGCTCTTGTATCTTCTGAGATCCTTGCGCTCATACAGACGGACGGACGGACGTACAGACGGACATGGCTATATCGACTCGGCTTGTCACCCTGATCAATAATATATATAATTCGCACAAAACTAGTTTACCCTTTCACCCTTTGGGTACAGGCTATAACAACGAGTATTGCACATACAATCGAATCCAACTTTGTCCAAATTTGTGGAAATTTGTGGAATTTGTGGAAACACTATTACTTACTATATTAATTAGACCGCAGTTACAGTTACAAACTGACGAATTTGTTATACTCTACAAGTAACAAGTAACAAATTAGAAATGTGGAATTGTTTTAAGGTCAACTATAATTTTAATGAAGCGATATTGGAATTACTAGAAATTATATTTTACCAATTTCGTTCACATTTACTCCGTTTTTCCAGAGTCTAAGTGTAATTTATAAATCAGAAACAAACCTAATATTAAGTCAATTCATTAAAAAGTGAAATTTTAGATGGTCATGATAATAGGTGTGCCCAACAAACAAGGACATCGCTAGTTAGGGTCCTGAATTGAATTAAATTAATTACCCTGTATATGCGTCATTATTCTGGCGCACTTTAACCAAACTTTCCGATCTTAGTTTCCGACAAATTCCTATTGGAATATTGTAGCACATTTTTTTAATATTTTCCCATAGCTGTGTGATGAATGCTTTGAATCATTATTCTGCTGAAATTTCAATGAATGTGAATGCTTTTTTCCTCCCTTTTAAGAACATTTTGAAAAATGAAACCTTTGTTAACACATAATCTTTCATATTGATCATCACTTTCTTTAATTTGAAACTAATGGCATATTCTAGCCAGATCTGGATGTTGAGAATGCCATTAACAGCAGCTAGCTTCTGTGTTGAATATTAAGAGTCGCCTGTTTTTCTTAATTATAAGTATTCTTGTATATTACAATTAAAAACCAAGCCCCTTACATTTCATTTTTCTGCACAGCTAAAAAATCAAATTTAAACACATTATTTTTAAAGCACATTTACAAGTCGCGCTTGTGTCTGTCGTTTATTTGTTACAATATGGTTGTATAATTATTGCAGTTATCGTTTAAAACTCGTGTGTGTATAAATATAATTTGTAAATGTCGATTTAAAAAATTGCATTGTAAAAATAGCACTCAAAATATTTATGTATGTGTGTGTGTGTGTGTATATGTTTTGCGTTTACATTCGAGCTTAAGTCTAAAAAAATTACTATAGAATTCATTCGAGACTTGGGGAAGCACAATTCAACAGTGAGAGCAAAAGAATTTTTGATTACATAAAGCCACAAAATTGCAGAAATCGTATATTTATGGGCACAATAAACAAAAATAGTACAATAACTAACTTAATACTACAAATTACATTTTTTGTTATAATTATAAACGTTTTGCTTGCAGATATGTGTAAATATGTATATAAATTCAAAATGAATACGAATGTCCAAGCACTTGTTGTTTGCACTGTTTAATTCAAAGCAATTATACTAAACAGCATTTAATCAATTCGTTAATTTAGGCACTAAATTGGGGGGCGAGAAATGACCCTCTCTCCCCCCAAAACAACAACAAATAAATGCGCTGCAAGGCATTGCACATAAATTTGAGTTCAAATGAAACCCAATTTCTAAACGTTTAATTGACAAATCGAATTGGAAATTGTGATTAAGTTATACACGCGACTTATGATCCTTTCATTTGTTGTTGTTATTGCTGGCTGTGGAGCTGCTCTCGCTGCTCTCCTTGTGGCGCTCCTCGCGTATGCGCTTAAACGCCTCTGTTTTAACAAAGTCCACCACATTGTAGACGACGCTGCTTTGGACTGGCGTTCGCGTGGCAGTCGCATCAACGGCACCCAGACGCACACCACCGGCACCAACACCACCCGGACCACCCGTATACAGATTTCCCACACTCATGCTCTGGCGATTCAGTAACGGCGGCTTGTTCGTCACATCCAAATCAAAATATTGCAACTTGTGCTCGGTTTGGGCCGCTGCCGCCTGCTGTTGTTGTTGCTTTTGGGTGCTTGACGTCGTCATGGCCGCTGCTGCCGAGGCCGTGCGCTGATGCTGCACGGACACGCTGCCCGGACTGTTGGGATGCGGACGATGCTGCTGGCGCGGCAATGTGCGCGTCTCATGAGAGTGGGAAGCAGCTCCTAACGATTGCACATCCGTCTCGTGCGGCAGGGCCATGAATATTGAGGCACCAGTGGAGCGACGCGTGGCTGGTGACATGGTGGCCGAAGAGCCGCGCTAGAATTGACACAAAAACGGAAAATATGTGTAAAGGACAGGGTTTTCTAAAGATCGTCATTGGAGTTGCGCGTGATTAACTACTGGTCAGGGAAAATTGGATCAAACTTAATTCCAATCAATTTACAGACTAGATCTAAGTCCAAGACTTATAGGAAAACTTATAGATAGTTTGTGCTTTTTACATTTAAAAAGACTAAATGATTTTTAATCGTCCTCATCTGCAACAAACAAAAACATTCCAATATCATCAGAGGAGTAGTAAACAAATCAGAAAGCAAATTTTCCCACACAATATTCTAAAAACAATACCAAGCCTGTGACTCTCCAGGCTCGATCCCAATACAATTTACAAGATTCACACTTGAATAACAATAACAAAAATAAATACTACATGAATCCGCCTGCACAAAAAACTTTGACATAGACTCATAAACAGTAACTAGTTTCAAAACCATATTCTTATGTCCTGCCCATTCCTTTCCAATCACAAATACTAATTTCTTAGCCAATTCAGGTCCCATCTTTAATCCTACTTTAGAAAGCAACGAGTTAATTGTACAAATGTTTAAAATAATCACGCAATATGCATATATTCAGCTATGGAAGTCAGAAACTTCAATGGACGAAATGACGAGCAAAAGTATTTTAAATATTCACTGCTCTCATCATAACATTGCTAGCACTTACTTTGTAAGCATTTGGTTTGCATTTGCGATCAACGCTGGGTGGTTGTACAGGCCCAGCACCACCAGCACCACCTAAGCGCTGTTGCAGTTGCGCCGCTCCAAATTTACTCGTCATATAGTCAACGGCGCTGACGGGCGGCTTGGCGGGAAATTCTTCGGGCGGCTTATCCTCCATTGTTACTCTTTGGGTCTCCGGTAGGCCGATGGGTGCTTTGGGCTTCAGCTTGCGATTAACAGGCGGACAATCAGTTTGCTCTATAAAGTCATAGCGAAAGACATTGCCCTCCATCATAGTGGGTGCGGCGTTCGTATAGCAATGTGGTCGGGGCAGGGTACGCACACTGCTCGGCGATGAGACTGCCGTTGAGGCAGCTCTCGCAATGCCGACACCGCCACTTTCTTCCGCCATTAGGTTGGGCGTAGAGGCGGCTATGGGATTGCTATTGTGCGGGCTCGTCGCCGGTCGCTCGCTCAGCAGCTGGCTGAGATTGTGATACGGCAGCTGATGGGAGCGTGGAATGTCATAGCTCTCTTCGATTAACGATGCGGCATGACGATGCGCCGCTATAGCCGGCGACGTGTTCTCCGTATCCGACAGTTGGGGCAGATCGCGAAGATGTCTGCAAACAAAATAATATGTATTCAGTAATAGAGAAATGAAGAAAGAACCAGCAAACGAGGAACAAAACTTAGAGCTCTTCAAGAGTCAATCAAGGAATAGGTGTTTATAAAGAAACTTATGATTGACCGGGAACTGTCCCCCACCAACAACAAACATCGAAATGCCTTCATTCCACTCACTTTTCGTTATCCTTGAAGTCCAATATGAGATTATTTTTGTTCTTTAGCACTTTAGCCAACTTTTCGAGGGTGCGATCGCTGCCAACCTCAGCCGCTGCCAAAGCAGCCGTTCCTAATTTCTGCTGTTTCTCTGTCATGGGCGTAGCACCGGCTTCATCGGGCATTTTTGAGAAACGCTGCGAATAGGTCAACACAAATGACTCATTTTCTATAGAGCTATCAGAAGGTCTGGTGCTGCGATCTATTATCAAAAAGAAATACAATTACAACGAAAAATAAAATCTGTTTATGGGAAGGCTAACACTTACCAACATTCTCGCGTAATGGCAATGGATGCGCCCACTCATCGTCATCGGTAAAAACACTCTCCGAGTCCGAGTCGGAACGTTGACTTCGCTGCTGCTTGCTGGCATTACTGTTCGCCAACTGATGCTGAAGGGAATGAAATAATGAGGGAGTTATGTTGTGATGTTGCTCTTTCAGTGCACTTACCAAACTTAAATTTGTTATCTTGGGTGAATAGGATTGATCATTGGTCAAGTTTAGACCGATATTGTTATGACTACGCGGCGTTTCATAGAACTTTGGATCCAAATTGTTTAGCGGCGTCGTTGGATTGTTGGCTAAGAACTTGGGACTGCCGGAGAAACATTCGCTAATGGGTATATAGGGCCCGGAGGCGGTGCTCAGTGCCGGCGAAGCCTGTACGCTGCTATGCTGCTGAGCCGCTGCCTCGGCCAGCGTTTGTTGTGTCAGCACCAGATTCTCAGGCAGCTTCCGCACCACACCATTTGAATTGACGGCCAAACGGGCCGCCTGCTGCTGCTGCTGCTGCTGCTGTTGCTGGTGTTGCTGCTCCTCAACCTGTGCTTGTGCCTTAGCTTGCGCTTGAATCAGAGCACTGTGATTCAAATAGAGCGCTGTGGCGGGAGAGGGCGGTGGTTGCTGTTGTGCCGCCGACAGTAAATGCTGCTGATCCAAATTCGCATCGCACAGCAAAGTCGCGCGATTATTGTAATCCGTATTCACATACACAGAATCCGCTGTAGCCGTTTGTGCCGACGGTTGCTGATCAATGACCGCCGGTCGTCGTATCAACGAAGTTGTACCAGCCGCGCCACCGCCTGTCGACGAGTGCAACGATGTGGTGGTTGTATTGTTGGTTGAATTACTTAATGCAACACTGGAGCTTGTGTGCTGCGTGCGGTTCTCATCTATAAAGGGATAGAGGAGGGAATGTTAGGCCATGACTGATACAAATTGGAACAGCACATAAAATTCCCGGTCAACTTATTTTCAAAGGCAAATATGTATAAGGATATTGATGGTTTTTATTTGAATGTCTTAGCTCTTGTCTTCAAAACGAATTTGTAATGAATGACAGTTTTTAATCAAGAAACTATTAGATTAAATCTTTCATTAAAGCTCTGTTTTTAACTATATTTAGGACACTTTTCAAAACGACTCTTAAATAAAATTAGCTCAGTCTCAACTTAGCTAAAAGACAAGTTTCTGAAGTCACTGAGTCGAATTCTGTACATTTGAACTAGTTTTAAACAAATACAAACAATCATCAAAATATCCGTAAAAGCTTTTTAGATATAAATTATAATGTGCTTCTTTAAATTTTAAACATTTTCACATTTTCAACATTTTTTCCAATTACTGGTGTAATTTAGATTTATTTTTATCGCGATCCTACGATTTCTTTCAATTGCCAATTTGCCAATTCTCTTAGCCTAGAAACCTATTTTGTAAACAACTTCAAAATGATCATACCTTAGCGCCTTCATAAATATTGCCTATTGCTGAATTTAAACTTATAAATCGTGCCTTGAAAGAGGCAGAAATAAGCAAAAGAAGGCGCAATATACTAACTATGTACTAAGTGCTCCATTTAAAAAAAAAAACAATACAAAAGAAAACGTAAGCAGGAGGGAATGCTACAGTCGTGGAAATCCCTACTTATGAGCCCATAGTTGAAGCAAAGGGAAGAAAGCCAACACAGTCCTGCAGTTTATGGGCGTAGTATTGAAGTGAAATTATTTCTCTAATAACTTTTCTAAGAATTTATCGATTTTGATGAAATTGATTGATGATATAAACTTACGCAAAGTTGATTATTTTATTAATACATGCTCGTGAACTGTAGTCTCTTTCAATCATTTTTAAATACAAGTACATACTCGAATGTAGATAAAGAATTGTAGACCTTTAAATAAGAGATGAACTCATATGGAACATTTCAAGATAATTGAACCCGTATCTAAAATAATAAATGTATTTCTTATTTTAAAATGTCACATTTTAATGAAATTTCTTTTGTTTTCAAAATCGTGTTATTGCTTCCAAAAGAAGAAATACCGCACTTTTTGGTCGTCGCTATGTTAATGGCCTTAAAAGCACCACACCCCAATCATTCAGATAGTCTTGCACTTTATAAATATTCGTTGGCAATATAGAGGCCTATCCCACATATTTGCTTTGTTGTCTCTTGGACATTTTATAGTAGGCTGTCCATTTTATTTACTGTAGAGTCTAGACCCCACCACACTCACCTGTCCCCAGTGCGCTGAGTGGCAATTCATTTGACTGCTTGGTGTCATGCAAATGGCACACCTGGCATATGCAATTCACCCAATCCCGCATGTCCGCTTCCGTTTCGGCGGCCAGATAGTAAGTGCGCTTCGGAGTCTTAATATCGAACATAAACTGAAACTTTTGTTTGCGATTCTCCAGTCGCAGACCGCAATCCACCTGCTCGCATTGATCCAAATCGATGACACCCTTCAGCTTGCGGCAATTGTGATCGGTGTAGTATTCAAGGCAGAACTGCTCGGGTATCTCGCCCTGCTTGAGCGTGAACCACCGACGACGCCAGCGCTGAGCCAATGAAAAGTAAAAAAATAGTAGCTAGATAAGGCACAAAACTCGATATATAAATATCTATGTGTATACTTGTATATGAATAGTGAGTTGCAAGTAACATCTGACGATGTTGGTTTGGATATGAGGCAACACAGCACGGCACGACAGCTATGAGTGTTGACCAGTTGGCCTCTGTCCAGTTGGCGCAGTAATCAGCAATGCTTGGGTGTTGATGAGTAAGCGCCGTTTTTTTTCCGGAGAATCACAATTTACATACATGAATACTATATGTATATGTATACTACATTGCCATTTTTCTTGGACAAACACAGCAATAATAATAATAACAATGACAACAAACACACCCACATCAGCATTTAATTGCAAAACAGCTGTGCGATTTAAGCTGAAATGCTTGAAGGGCAGTACACTGTTAAGGTGGTTGTTGTCTCTGCTAAATGTGATTGTAAGTTTGGCACAAACAATTTGAGCAAACAAACATACAAGTATGTGCATACATATGTATGTATGTATGTGTGTTTGCATTTGTGTATGGGGGGGCGAAAATTTGCGTAGTCTGCACAATTTAGCGCTTAATTAAATTACAAACAATAAGCATGCGGCCACACACAGGCTAAGAAATTGACTCCCTGAGTCGCAACTAAAAGGCGCAGCTAATTTGCAGGCAAATCGCTTGAGTATATACAAACAGCCATACACACATATGCATACACATGTATATACATACATACATATTAAGGTATACATATATAGAATATGTACGTATGTACGACTGTGTGCAGCATAAACAAAAAGCAAGTACAAGGCTGCTTAAAATGCATGACAGACAACAACGGGCCAATTCGTTATCGCTTAACTGTTGCATATATGTATGTATGTATATGCTTCTGTATTTGTGTATATAATAATCAAAACCCGTACAGCTGTGTGTGTGTGTGTGTTGTGCGCGCCTTTGTCGGCAACATTGCTTTTGCTTGCCTATCTCTTACTACTTTCTACTTGCTTTAAATAAATTTGATTAAACGTAACAGTTGCTGCCAGCCTGTGGTAATTTAATACGCCCTGCTGCGCCTCTTTTAACGTGTACATACATTTGTGCACGAGTGTATGTATGTACATACGTGTTTGCGTACAAATTCATTCACAATTTACAAGACGGCTTGTTAGCATCTTAATAAATTTAAAGCAGTTCCCACAGTGCTAACCACAACTGCAGCACCAACAACAACAACAGCGACAACAACATCAGCAGTAATGCAGACAGCAGCTTATTAATGAATTAAAAATGATTATGTATCTGACAGCAACACACAATCACATACATACATATACATATATACACACACACGCTCAACAGTAATTGTACAAAAATGCCAGTGCTTGGTTTGGTGCGTTGCTTTGTGTGACTCAATGTAGTTTTTTTCTTTTAGAGAAAAATATTATAGCAGTTGCTTAGCTGCTTGGTCGCTTTTACTTCACTTTTTGCTTGCGGTTTGCAGATTGCACATTTGACTGACCATTTGGTATTCGAATTAGGCTTTCTGGGCATTGCAATGTATGTAATTGTAAATACTTACAGCACGCCAAATGCGCTTCGATGGCGGCGACTTTATAAGCCATCCTTCGTAGAAGGTGCGATCCATATTGGTTGTTTAATTTGTCACTTCTCTTTAGCACTAGTTATTAACAAATATTTCACCTTAATTTCTAATTTAAAAGCATTTTTTATCAATTGGCCTTTCTCGTTTGTTTCTGTGCCTCTTTACGGCCTCTGCCATTCTGTTATCGCTGACAAACGATTATTTCGATCGAACTCTTCAACAATCGTTTAGTGCTATCGGTAGTCGGCATGCAAATAACAGATTTATGTAAACAATGTACATTTCGAATTGAAAGCATTTGTAGTTATTATTACCTATAGTAATTATTATTTATAAATATTATCATTAATCCTGGCTGACTTTTATGCACAAAGTCGACACTAAATTTGCAAAAGCACTTAATATTTAACAGAGCCATGAACTGTTAAATAACAGTGAGTCGACAGTGCTACCATATCCGTTTTTACCGATTCTAACACATTTAAAAATTGTGTTTTCCGCCGTATAATGCAATAAAATCAAACATAATATAGTTTTTACAAATTATTTTTATTCCGTCAATTGCATGTTAAAAACATACAGATAGATTTTCATTTCCATGTTCACACAACGCAGCAGCAGAGAAATATAAAACATCACCACCAACACGCTGCTCACGCTCTCAGACGGAAGTTCCTGCTCCTTAGCGTACTTATTTATCCTTGGCATCGCCCTTGCCACCACGAATTCTGCCGGTACGACGCGCAGCAATGAGACCGACCTTACGACCGGCGGATGTGCCACGCTTAACTGTCGACGCCTTACCAATATGTTGATGGTTACCACCACCGTGAGGATGCTCCACAGGGTTCATGGCAACACCACGCACCTTAGGCCAGCTGTTGCGCTTCACCTTGTACTTGTGGTAGGCACGACCAGCCTTCAGGATGGGCTTGTCAATACGGCCACCGCCAGCAACAATGCCGACCATAGCACGGTTGGCCGAGGGCACAACTTTCTTGGCGCCGGAGGGCAGCTTGACACGGGTCTTCTTTGTGTCGGGATTGTGGGCAATCACGGTGGCGTAGTTGCCAGAGGTGCGCGCCAAACGGCCACGGTCACCGGTCTTCTCTTCCAGATTGCAAATGATGGTACCCTCAGGCATCTGAGACAGTGGCATCACATTGCCAATTTGTAGGGTAGCTTTGCGACCGCAGTATACGAACTGGCCGGTGTGCATGCCCTCGGGGGCAATAAACAGCTCCTTGCGGACCTTGTAGCGATAGGGATCGCGGAAGTGAACGACGGCCAAAGGAGCGCCACGACCAGGGTCGTGCACGATGTCCTACAGAACAAAAAATGCAGTAAATTAGACCATTTAGTTCACACTGCAATATGCAACAAACCCACAACTCACCTTAACAACACCACGAATGTAGCCAGAACGCTCAGCGAAGTCCAGGGAACGCAGTTTGGCGGCTCCCTTGCGCTTCTTGACGTGCGCCTTGAAGACGGACCCAGCGCCCTTACGTTGTGCACGAATTACGCGACCCATTGCTGCAATTGTCGTAAAGTTGCAAATAATTAATTTTTAACTAACAGCCTGGGACTGTTTTAGTTTGCACCACATTTTAACCCGCACAGACTGTAACATGTGTTCAAATATCATTTGCGTCAATCGACGCTATGTCATAGGATAAGATTTCGAATGTGTTTTTTATTGGATGTTACAATTTTCGCGCAAAAATCGGCGATTATAATGCCAGCAAACAACACCTACCGATTCTCGGGTAAAAAAGAAAAGAGAGAAGAGGAAGAAAAACTGAGCAGTTGTCAAATTAGAAGGGCAGCGCAGCCAACTTAACGCAGTGTTCCGTCAGCTGCGTAGCCAGTGTTGGAAAAGGCGCTCGCTGCTGTTTTTAAATATAAAAAATTGAAATGTAGATTTCAGAAACGTAAATAATTGATTTTGCTTAAAGTATGGACTACATTTTCCGGTCATTTCTCTGAGAAGTAATAATCGGTGCAAAAGCAACCACTTCTTTTGTGAACATTGCGTTACCTAAACAAGTTTCCCACCTCTTTTGGTTTCAAAATTCATTTATAGTTTTGAGTTAATAAATTGATTTCAACAAATTTCGACCAGTATTGTTAAGGTGATAAATTTGATTGTAGGGATTAAATGCTTATGTTAAATATAAAAACATGTAAAGAAATTGGTAGCATGAAAAATAAATAATAAATAAATACCTTGCTCGTCAGCTTAAGTTTCTTCATAAGTGGACTTCCACTTAGATCCATTGATAGGGCCCGAAGGTTGTGTAGCGACTTACGTACATATGTCTATAACCCGTCTCGACTATTACCAATTATCTCACTTTAAGTTCCTCCCATTGAGCTCATTTCCTATTAAGCAGTGTTTTCAATAGTTATCGAGTTGATTATTAATTTAATGTCAATTTCATTTCTAACAAGTTTTTGAAGAAGCTATTTATGTAGTCTCCAATCTAAGAGAGCGTTTTTTCCCAAAACATTCTGGAAATGGAACAATCAAACTATGCCTAGCTCGCGGGAAGTCTTACATATGTACATACATATATAAGCCATTAAGAATCATTAAAGTTTTCATCGACGCCTTTTTACAGTCCTTCAAGACAGAAGGGGATCTCATTCTTTTGCTTAAAATATCGGAAAAGACAATGCTTTTTGGAAAGACATTTTTTTCTATAAATTTTATTTTATTATTATTTTGAAATTTTTGTGTGCTTTATTTACAAATTGTCCGAATTTGGGACAATTATTAAATGCCTTCAAAATACCTTGAGAAACTTATCTCTTAGTTACTGAAAAAATTTAGAAATTGAACAAAAGAGCGTAGATGATTAATAACAGGTATGTCCGCAATGTATAGCCTGAAAGGATGGGTCCAACATGGACTTGCTTAAACTGTAACAGTATTTAAAAGCAGTCCCTAATGGAAAGGTTAAAAAAAATTAGTTCTAAGCATGTTTGCAAGGTGGTGGAGTTTGTTTCTTCAGAATAGTAAGTCAAGTGCCTCGAGCCTCTTTAAACGTTTTCGATGTTGGCTGTTATCTGTCCAGCGGCTTAATGGCCAAGAGGGAGCCTTTGGATATGCCGATCCGCTAACCATTGCTATGCCCATGTGTCTGTGAACGCAGGTGTTTCGAGGTCATTGAAATGAAAGAGCAAATGTTGTATTGTTTCGTTTTTATTTGTTTTAATTTTGAGATTATATATATATTTATAATAATAATTTTCTTTTTGCGATGTACATTTCATTTCTCCATAATTTTACTTGTTTTATTTTAGAAATAAAGTAAGCATTTTATATTACTAATTGTTTTGTTTCTAATTTGCATTTCCATAGATACCTTGCAATCAAACAAGATATGTAAATCAAAGAGGGACGATGTGTGTATACTTGAAACGCAATCATCAATATGGGATAATTTGTATTTTAATTCCTTTTCTATAACACAAAAAACAAACAATATTTTATAAAGTATGTCCTTTTCGGGTGCGACGATACACAAAGGAAACACAGGGGGAAATCTATTATTTTCAGCACTCACAATTAGCATATAAATTGACAATATTGTTCATATTCGTAACTGCTGCTGAGTGTGTGTGTGTGTGGCTGCTAAATAATTAAGTTAAACATTTATGTATATTGCAGCATGCTCATTAAAATTAAAGGAAACACAAACAAAATGCTCAGCACAGCTCACAAGCTGATGCTGCTGCTGCTGCATTCATTAATTTTAACTTTAACAAATGCTAATAATTTCATAGAATTCTTTTAATATTTGTTCAGTTTATTATTTTATTTTGTTTTGCTTTTTAAGTATATTATGTTTCACGCTCGTTTTCCGTTGTTCAATTGTATAAAAAGTTCAGTAAAAAATGCAGCTTAACTAGGTTGGTTTACTTTACTTTTATTTCATTTTATTTCGATAGCGTTTTTCTTGTTCTCTTGAATTATTTAACGGCATGCCTTTGACTTTTATTTTATAATTTCAATATTATAGAATTAGCTTTCCATTTTTCATATATAATTTGTTTATCGTGCATTATAGCAGAATTCAAATGTTTGTTAGCAGTTTTTCATATAATTGCGTTGCTTTCCATTCCATTAGTTAATTAAAACTTCTAATAACTTAGAATTGTTCCGAGTTTGCTTATAACACGTTTTCTTTTCTTTTAATATTATATTATTTATTTTGTATCACTTAGTTTTTACAATGGCGTTTTTTTGTTTTCCTTTTAATATAGATTTCTGTTTGTTTTTGTTTGTTTCCACTAAGCTTTTAACGTTATAAACGCACAAATAAAAACCATAGACTATGCGCAAGAACAAAAACGAACGAATTACAACATTTTTGTGTATCGCATAAATAGAAAATTCGTTATACATATATATTTATATATTGCATGCATGCTCTCTGCTGCGTGGTTGTTATTGTTGTTGGCATCAACTTAAGTTTAACTTTTAATCAAATAATAATTATAATAATATATAAAATAATATAATATGTAATAAAAAACAACACGCACACAACTATCTATAATAATAATAATAATAATAATGACATTTGAAATGAAACTGTGTGTGTGTGTGTGTGTCTGTGTAATTAGCTTGTTTCGCACACATACGTACATACATATGTATATATGTGTATATATATTTATGTATAGTTACATATGTAACGCACATTTACATACACAAGAGAGACAAATATGTATTTGTGAACAAATAAACAAACTTACAAACAAACAACTGTTTCGAATGCGAAGACGAAAAACCTCGGCGAGTGAGCGTCAAAACTTTTCTGCCGTTTATATAAATATTAAATACATTATTTACGTTTTCATTCACTTTACTAATTGAAACGTCGCCCTGTTGAATTTCTCGTGTGTGTTTGTGTGTGAGTGTGGGTTTAGGATATCTTCGCTTACAATGTACGCACTTTTCACTTAAACCTGTTAATTGTTTTTCGTTTCGTAATGTGTTTCTTCTTCTTTCTCTCTAGATATTCTTCTTCCTGCTTCTCCTGCCGTTGCTTGCAAAATTGAAAGAATACAAATTGTTATGTTGTTGATATTTGTTTGCAAACGACTCCCTCCGCTCCCTTTCCACTCCCTCCTTCTCCGTCTCTCTACTCTGGTCGCCACATCGATCGGTTACTCAGTTGCTCTCGTCAGCTGCTGTCTTCATCACTAACACGATCATCATCGGCACCATTACCGTCTTCTATACTCTTCTTCTTCTTCTTTTTTTGTTTTTTTTTTTGTTTTAATTGTTTTTTTTTATTTTTGTTTTTTTTTTTTTGTTTTTTCTTGTTTTTTGCTGCTGCCATTTTTACCAGTTGGCCATGCCTGGCTTGTTGAGCGTCATGAAGTAGATTTGACACGATGAAGCACCTTTGGCACTGCTGAAGAATACTTTGTCATTGCGCTCGCAGAGGAATTTCAAGCGTTGCGCCTTCTTGTGCATAAACACACCATCCAAGTGGCCATTCTCCACGGAACGTATCTGCAGAATAGGAACCCATAACACGTTTTAGTAAAGACACCAATATTAGAAAGGGTGGTTTAATGAAGAGAAAAAAGAAATGTTTCAATTATTACAAAATGAAGTTCCAGGTTTTGTCTTGAAATGGAAATAAGAAACATACTGAGAGAACTCTCCGACTGATTGGATATTGAAAATGGTAGCCAATATTCTTCTACAATTCTGAAGAACAAAACGACCATAAGAAAAACAAGAGAGAACGCTACAGTCGACCAAGCCCGACAGTGTAATACCCTGCTTTTCTTAGAATTGACCGAATTGAAAAAATTGAACAACAGTAGACAATTATATATAAATTATGTGTGCAAAGTTTGGTTTAGGTAGCATTTGAAATGTGGACGCTATTGACGAAATTCTGTAGCGGGGGAAGGAGGGGAAAATTACAAAAAAATAATAAACTCGTCCTTTCTCGGCCCTAGGAGAATCTGGATGCCAACTTTGGTTATTCTAGCTTTTATAGTTTCTGAGATCCTTGCGTTCATCCAGACGGACGGACATGTCTAGAACGATTTCTCTCGTCATGCTGATTCAGAATATATATACTTTATGGGGTCGGAGATGCTTCCTTCTGCATGTTACATACTTTGCACAAACCTAATATACCCTTTTTACCCTACGGGTACAGGGTATAATAACAAAATAACAACTAATGGGTTGGTTTTACTTTTAAACAGAATCGAAACCAGGCCTGAAATTTAGAAAACTATATTGTATGGCATTAAAGACAAACTTATGTCTATTTAAATCACCTATTCTTCCGTTTTTCTGCGCAATATGCTATTAAATCGGAATAAGAAATGCGACCTGAGCGCAAAATAACCACCAATATTCGGTATTACCCATATTATTGCAATAAATAATAAATACATACTTGATACAAAAACTATAAATTAGGATGTACACTGTAGATAAGCTATCTATCTTTTTTCCAAGAAATTTGTATAATTTAAAACAACTTTAAATGAACAAATAATACCTTAAAACCTATTAGTATACGCACCTCTATTGCTTTATTGCCCCAGCCCATAATTTGTCCAGTGCCTATGTAAGCCACTGATGTAGGCATTTCGCCCCACTGTAATCAGAAATAGAAACAATTTTCATTCATGATTTTCTGGAGCGTTTATAATAAATTCTTCATCCACTTGCCTGCAGAACAATGTTCTTGGAAACACGACCAGCAGTGTTCACATAGACGCCTTCATTGTCGTAGCACAACAGCAAGTTCATGCCATTTGAGTTTGGAAGCGCCACAATACAATGCGGAATGATTGCACCCTGAGTCTGTTTTTATGCGTAATATATAGATACAGTTAGATATCTCCAGTTTTTTTTTTTTCAAAGCGCGATTGCTACTCACATGCTTAGGAAGATAGATATCGTATACTTCAGCGGAGTCTAGATCAACCGCATGGAAACCCTCAGCAGAACCGTAAATCACTTTCAGTCTCGATTGATCCTCAATTGTGAGATCGACCAGAAGTGGGCGATGGTCCAATTCACCAAAATTCTGCAGTTCAAATTATGTTAGAACATCTATTAAGGATAGATTTAGGAAGAACTAGACACTTACTTTAAATGCCATAAATTTGTGATATGGTTTGGGCGCCCACGCATAAATTTCAATCGAGTCTTTTAATGCAATCACTAGGAACTTAATCCTCTCGTATTTGACAATCTTAAAATGTACAGCACCTTGTAGATCACCAACATTTATCCATCCATTGCGACGCTCCACTTGCTGTAGAATGCAAAAAAGGAAAACAATTGTAATTTATTTCGACTGAGTTCTGTTCTGCAGGAGGCGACATACATCGGAGAGTCCATCGGTGCGTAGGATTTTGGATTTGAGCCAAGATAAGTAATAGACACGCACACGATTCTTTTTGCCCGATATGGTAACCAATATGTTCTGACCTTCCAGCACCTCCATTTGTTGGAATCGACGACGCGAGATGAGCTGGTAGACCTTTAAAAATACGAATTGTAGATGATAAATATTGACCAGAATTTCAATGATTTGCCAACCAACCTTTCCCTGTCCGGAACGATCCAGTAGCATGAGTCCATTCTCTGTGCCAATTAGCAGGTTGACGCCCCACAATGCCGCACACAAGATCTCCGAATTGAAACGCTTCTTATACTTACGTATTTCGGGCGTATCGTTAGCCGCCTCATGAGATGTGGGTGTTACATTTACATTGACATGTGCTTCACGACGTGTCGGCCCTGAGCCGCCGGCTCCGAAACCGAATGTAAGGAAACTGCGTTGCTTCTGTTGTAGGGCATGGGCATGTGGTGGTAAATTGACATTTCCGCCGGCAGCCGATGACGAACCATGTATCGAAGCGTTCGACATGGACGAACAGGTCGTCAGATGGAGAATGTTCGCAGAAGAGGAAGAAGCAGATTTAGGCAATAAATTAGTAATACTGCTGGTAGAACGCGTTTTACTAATCGAATTCTTTGGTGAATTCTGACGCGAATTCGATGTCGATGAGGCTAGCGAGATGGTCGACTGTGGGGAATTATTACTGCTAATAATTACGCCACCGACGACACTACCGCCCCCAAGACCGAGGCCGCCACTGCCGCTGCTAGCGATAAACGATTTCGATGGCGTGGAATGCACGGATGAACTAATGGCCGCTTGATACTGTTGTTCGTGGTTCATTTGAATTTACATTTTTATATTTGTGTTTTTCGTTGTGGTTCATTGTTCATTTGGGTATTTATTTATAGTTTTAATTGTTTGGTTGATTGGTATTTTAATTGTAGAGAAAAGAAAATAGAAAAAGTGCAAGAAAAAAATTTCAATTAGTCTTAAGTTGTCAACAAAATAAAATTCAATAAAAATTATACACATGCTTGGGTGATGGCGATATAAAGAAGTGTCGCATACAATAGATGCATTGTTTAGGTTTGGTGTTTGCTTAAGCTAACAACAATTGAAAGAAAAAATAATTAAAAATAGAGAAACATCAGCCAAAAAGTTATGAAAGTTAACAGTTAAGAGATAATGGTGTCGAAACAAAAAAAAAAGGTATAAATAATAAATGTGATAAGTCTTTCCCCAGACGCCAATGGTAACAAATAAATAAATAAATAAAAATGTAAAACTGGGTGTGTAGCCTAAAGAAAAAGACTTGTGTTGTATATATGTGTAAGGATTCTTGTTAATAGCGCTATTAACTTGTCTGTAATGTTAGTTACAGGCGCGCTTCCGGACAGTTGCTGCTTGCTATGGAACGTAAGTGTGCAGAATAATGAAGGGAGACAGAGGGAGCGCCATGTCACAATGGACAGAGGGCCGCGCAATAAGAGAGTACTTTATATACAAATGCTTTTAGCAAAACTCAAAAAAAAAAACAAAAAAAAAATAGTGTTGTATGAATACTTATTGTAGAAGTGTGTGACGGATTCTTATTAATGATCGGCAATGGTACATAAGTATTTACAGCGCAATAACAAAACGCTGTTAACTTGTCTGTAATGTTAGTTACAGGCTCGCTTAAGCACAGTTGTTGCTTGCTATGGAACGCAAATGTGTAAAACATTAAAAAAAAGAGACAGAGAACCGTGCAATAAGAGAGCATATTATATACAAAGGCTTCAACATAAATCCAAAAAGAATATTTTCTTGTGCACTTTGATTCTGTACATAAATAAAATGTGCTGGTTGTGTTTAAAGACGTATAATGGAAAAACAATAATTTAAAGAGCACATATAAATGAGATACAGACACACTGATGTGATGATTTTTTTTTTTTTTTTTTTTTGAAACTATACATAAAAGTAAATTTTGTAGTTGCTGGTAGTTTTGGGATATTTGTATAGGTTTTTAATTTAGAGAGCAAAATAAAGAAATTGTATTGTTTGATATCTTTCCCGTGTAAGTTTCTTTTTTTGTTTGTAATACTTACTATTGTAAATTTTTGTTTGTTTGTTTTTGATATTTGTTTTGTAATTTGTTAGAATATATCGTAGTGGCCATCAGCTCAAACGTTGCGGAAAGACAAAGCACAATTAAGAAGAAGAAATTTTTGTAACGTTTAAATTTGGTTAAACAATTTGTTTGTTTTTTGTTGTTGTCAGTTTCTACACAAATAACAAGTATCTGTATATAATATTTGTTGCCTATTTATCATGCATTACCAAAAGCTGAGTACGCATGCAAATTTGTATTAAAACTGCATTGATTGCAGACCAATTTGGGTTTCAATTGTTTCTCAACTTCTTTTGTTACGCTCTTCATAATGGACTTTGCTCCACGTCAAGGAAAAAGTTTGTTGCTTAATTAAACATATGTATTAGTTACAAATAAGTAGTATTAGAACTAAATTCACTTAGAACAAAAATGGCATATATGTATGACAAAAAAAAAAAACAAAAACAAAAAAAAACTGAGGCAGTAAATAAATTAGTTTGCCCAATAATTCGAGAGTTTCTATGTTTTGGAACCTCAACTGAGAATAATTTCAGTTTGCAATTATCAGGACCTTTTGCGATTTAATTAAGTACTAAGCGATATTTTGAAAGTTTTTTTTGTTAATTCCTGATTTTAGTTCAACTCGTTGCCTTAAAACTATGACGGAAGCTTTAAACGAAACGGGAAATCAATAACTTTTTCTACTCCCGCAAATACCGAACAAAGTTAAGAATTATGGCCCCATATTTCTAAGTAGTATGAGAAACAAACACAATTAAGAGAACTTTTACTGCGGCAAGAAAGCCTCGTGAGCACTCATGACAAAAAAGACAATGTACTTGTATGACTCGATTAAGACGTGAGTTCTGCTTATGACAATAGGACACATGTCTCCATACTGTTGATATTTTATATGTATGTACGAGTAGTAGATATGTGGGCAAATAGGTGAATACGTATTTGTTATTATCACAGTAAAACAAATAAAAAAAAATCAACGTAAAAAATGTATGTATATACTATATAAGTACGATTATAAGAGAACTCACAAAAAGTTACGAACAGAACACAACGAAAAGACGTAAAAAAATGAAAAACAAAAAAATAAGAAATTTATTGCACTTATTACTCACCTCCTCACTGGATGATTTATCATGGCGTGGTGGCGTTGCCGGCGATGCCTGAGTGAGTAAATCCGGCAGCACGCTACTGGTACGGGTACCCGGAGTTCCAAGGCCGCTGCTATCGCCGCCGCCGCCGCCTCCCCCGCGATTCTGATGGGTAGAGAAATACACAGAAAGTTAACTTCAAAGTTTCAATTTTAAGACCATAAATTGGGTAACAAAATCGAAATGAAATTAATATGGGTTATGCTTGTTTTTCTGCATCGAAGTAAAAAGTAAACAACAAAATGAACAACAGGAAGACAATTGAACGAAATGAAAACACATAATTTATAGTAAAAAGAGCACAAAAAATGAATGCCAATGAGATACTTTTTGGTTCCCACACTGCATCTATGCTAGATAGGTACTATTGAAGCCTAGAAAGTGTGTGTTTTTGGTACAAGGCTTAGAGAGCTTAGATACTAGAACGTAATCATTATGTAAATCTAAAACTTTTTTCAAAATTGTTTTAAAGCTACAATCTTCATTAACGCATTTACATATATAGTAAGCATTATACAAAATTGATACTTAAATTAGCTGCATTCGATTGTTTAGTAAAGGGGGTTCTTCACGTTTTTCTAATTTGGTGCATTCCTTGTTACGTTGCACAGCACAGCAGGCAAACGTTTTCCAATTGCAAACACTTGTACAACAGTGTTGTAAAACGGGGAACATGTATTATTTTCTTTTAATAGAGACTCCGTCTAACCAAACCAAGAACTTTTAGTTTTTCTATATACATACAAATTGTAATGTTTTAAAAGCTTTAAAACAATTTTGAGCATTAGCAATAAGTTAAGTTAAAGAATAAAGCATATCTAGCAATAGTTTAGATACATGGATGGCTTCAAGAATTTGATTAGCTCAAAAGCGTAATTCTGAATAATGATATCACCCATTCCATAAAGCAATTCCCCTTTCAGCGTTTTCGCCATCTTATTTACCGTTAAAATATAGTAAGCCCCCTTTGGAAAGTGTCTAAAAATACCCAATGAAAAACCAATATAGAATGAACATAAGTGATTGATATTAAAAGAAAATCCCTACTAATTATTTCACCTCTACTGCTTAGGAACCCCAAGCTACTACAAACAAAGTTATCGATTTACACACATTCATTATAAAAGTCAATCACTCACTAATTCTATGCACAATAATATAGTATGTAGTAAGTAGGAATAGCTTAATAGTTAAGAGCCCAACAAAACATTACACTCTTTGTTTTTAGCATCTCATTAGCATTCGATCATTTTGCTATACATATAGAGTACAGTTGATGACAGATTAAATACCGTTTTAGCACATATATGTACATAAATATAAGTATTATATAGAGATTGCGCTGACTACCCAATTAGAAAGCAACCTAGCAAGTGCCTTTAGTATGCATAGTATAAATGGTTATAAACATGGCATTAAAATGGCTTTTTAGTAGACGATATCGAAAGTAGAACACTAGACTTAAATGTTATTTGCTTAGCTTAATTCAATTAGTGTCTATCGATGCATTATGGTTATGGCTTTTTCAGAACAAATTGATACGATTGGAGGGAGATCTTAATGGAAATCAATGGAATGCAAACAAACAACATGCTGGATGTCAGGCAGAATGGGCAAAACAATTAAAACTTTAATAACATATGCATTAACATAAATATATAAGTACATATATCAATGAAATGCTGATAAATAAAACATAAAACGTGCACACACAAAGAATTGGTGATTTTTCTTCTCAGCTACCTTCATCTTTCGTTTTAGCAACAAATGCGCGCGCAGTTCAAAATGAGGGGCGAATTATTTACGAGCTGTTAGTGCAATGTTAATAAACAGTGAGCGAGTATGTAAAGTGCATATGCGTGTGTGTGTGTGTGTACGTTTAGAATGAGCGTTGTTCGAGCGAGTTATATACACAAGAGCTTTTTGGTGAGTATGCAAGCATTTTTTTTTCGATCTTTTTCAAGCCATATGGAAAATGTTTGTTACACTTTTTGTTGTATTATAATTTAAAGTAGTTTGGTTTGGTTTATGTTTTTGGCGCCAAGACAAAAAACATAATAAAGAAACGATTTTACGCCAACAACAAAACTTGATTCCATTATTATTATTATTATAATAATTTTTGCTTTCGCATTTGATTTTGCTAAACAAAACGAGTTATGGGAATACGAGAACAAATGTTTAGATCGTTTGTTTTTGATAGCGGTTTTTGGTTTTTTTTTTGGTGCGTGCGAGCTGAGAACGTTTACCTGCTGCTGTTGCTGTTGTTGTTGCAGTTGTTGCTGTTGCAGTTGTAGCTGCCGAGCACGTGCCGCGGCACTACGCCCCATTATGACCGACTCAGTCTTTTCGCGACGTAGATGGAAGAAATCTAAATTGGCCCAACTGTTCTTGGCGGCAGGTGACTTAGCTGTTGTTGTTGTTGTTGTTGGTGCGGCAGTTGTGCTGCTGGACTTTTTGAACTTGGTGGCGGCCGAGGATGAAGCCGCTACCTCCTTTGGCTGTGTCTGTTTGCTGTTATTGTTATTGTTGTTGTTGCTGTAAATGCTGTTCCTTTGGAAAACGGCGCTTGATCTTTGCGCCTGACTGGTCACTGGCGACTGTAGCTGAGCACTGGCATTGCTTATCACCGCCGAATAGCGCTTGGTGTTCAGTAGGAAGTCCGAGTTCTCACGTCGATAGCCGCGCACAAAATTCGAGGGCAGCTTCGAGTCGGACTCTTGGCGATTGTGCTTTGGCATTGCGGCGACTGCTGCCCCCCCTTTTTGGGCGCCACTAAGCGTCGAGGACGCTGTGGACGTATCGGAAGAGCTGGTGCTTAGTGGCGTGGAAGAGCGCTCTGCGGCAGTGATGGCTGTGGGGTTTTTTAGGGGCTGATAGCCACTTGGCACCGCCCGTCCAATACCTTCGGCCATGCTCGCCCGTTGCAGTTTCGTGTCCAATTTTAAAGTGCTCTGCTGGGAGGTGCGACTAAGACTGGCCGTGGTGCTGAGATCGCGGTTGCGAGTGCCGTTGTTGCTGTTGCTGTTGTTATTGTTGTTGTTCTTGGGAAAGAACCTATCAATATTCCAGTCCTGCAAGAGTTTGGCTTCATCTGAACGTTTGGACGCCAATATCGGTTGGTTCGCATGCGATGTGGAGGCGGATTTTTGTAAGCGATTTAAGTTCTGTTCTAGTTTCTGCTCGACAGTTGTTGTTGTTGTTGTAGTTGTAGAAGTGGGGTTGGGTTTGTAATTGTTGTAAGTAGCATCGCAAGAGAAGAATGGGGTTAAGATTTGGTTTCTTGTTTTACACTAGTAGCTGTTTTTGTTGCATACTTAAAGGCAAAGTCAAACTACAAAGTCGCGAATCAGTTTTTGGGGCAGCATGAAAAGTTTTCCATGAATTTGTTCACATAAACAATTTTTTTTTAAATGTATTTTTTGTTTTGCATGTGTTTTAAGTGTATGGGTGGGTGTGTATGTGTGCACACATTGCCAACAGTTTGTTACACTTGGTGCGAAAATTGTCTAAAAGATCTTTCAGTGCCATATGGTCTGGAACTTTGCTTTTCTAAACATTTCAAGACATTTTAAACGTTTGCAATAAACTCTATATATATATATAGTATGTATGTATATTTGTACAATTATGTATGAACGTGTGTGACGTCAGTGCAAACATTCTATGCACCAGTACCAGTGCATTATATAGATACGGTTCATATATCGCATATACAAGTATATCGCTCATTAAATTTTATACAAGAAAAACAAACAAACAAACAAATTATAAATATTTTGAAAATCAAAATTGATGCAAACTCATATGGATAGTTTTGAATATTGTTGTTTCTGCTGTACAAGAAATTCACGAAAAAGTTTCATACTGAATTCATTTTAAAATTTAGTATAGAAAAATGTAGTTAATAAAAATAAGGTTTATTTTAATTATACTAGAGACTAAAAAGTAACTAAAGAATCAGTGGTTATTTAATTATAGTATAGGGAAAAATTTTATAAAATTGTTGCTAAGAAGCACCATAACCACCTATGGATCTTTTTAATAACTAGTATATCATATTTTCCAGCTATTAGTGTGGGTGTTCGCCCTTGGTAATACTATAGGTCCCTTAAACCCTAATGCTAATTACAATTTATACAATTATCCTGCGTGTAAGGTGCGCGTCAAATCCTTCGCCATATAAGCAGCGCGTTTGCAATTCATTCTGAACTCGTTTCGAAAAAAATCACCAATTTGCTACTTCAGCTCTAACCTGAGGCCCTGTATCTCAAGATATCATTTGAAAGAGAAACAAACTAAAAACTAAACTAAACTAAAGGAAATGTACTCATAGATAAAACTACATTATATATATATAAAAAAGTATATAAAAGTAAAAGACATAGTTCCGGTTGCCACTTACCCGCTTCATTATCAATGTGCGATCTCCAGCCTGATCATCATCATCGGGCGTCGGTGGCAACGGGCGATTTGGTGGCCCACCACTGCCATGGGTCAACGGTGTGGTCGTTGTGTCCTCCGAAATGGGTCCAACGTTGGGCCTATATGAAAATTCGGGTCTGAACAAAACAAAACCAAAGCAGCGCACAAAAAAAAAGAAGCCAATCCCAAACGTTTCGGATTGTACAACAAAAATAAAAATGTACCAAAACGAAAGGAACAGAACAGATCAGATCAGATCAAAAGAAAGAGTGCATAGAAATGGATTTTGGTTTGGGGTGAAATGATAGATAAATGAATGGGATTGTTAGGTTGGGTGGTTTTTGTGGTATATAAGTTACATGAAATGATAGATAAGAATATGATTGTGAATTAGTTCAAAGAGAGTCTACTGTGAAAATTTCTGTACTGCTGCAAACGAGCGCTCAAGTTTTGTGTACATTTTTACTTTGCTTCTAGAACTACCAATACGCATTGTACATACATATATCTAGTATATTAAAGGGGACTCAAACCATAACGGTACCGCAAACTATTACGCGAATTTTCTGACTATTATATCATTGTTCGAGTGGGTTCGATTTCATATCAGTGCCCAAAAACTCAATCCAAAAAAGGTACGAAAATATGTCGGTAGAACCTTTATTGCCAATCAAATTTTGATTTGTGATGATTTTTTTTTAAACCTATAGTTAAGTGCCGACTTGATTTAAGAAAAAAAAAAAACAATTAGATTCAATATGGTACCGAAACGATTTTGAAAATATTAGGTTAAGGAATCCTAAATTCACATCGACATTTTCCTATTTTCAAATTTATTTTGTAAATTTGTAAATACATTTTTGGAAAATATGCGTTCTATGAATTCGAAAAAAGCGCGATTCAAAATTCAAACTGGAAAAGCTTGTGGTTTTTAAGATTGTCAAACAGTGCGAAATCACGTAGAATTTAAGGTTTAACTATAACCTGGTGCTATAATTTGCTCAACATTTTCTGAAACTTTTAAAAGTGATGTTGTGTCCAAATGATATTTTCAAACTTTGTGATCGAAAACCTACTAAATTTGGTAATTCCTAAATATTGCGAAATAGGTAGTCAAAGAGTGCGAACGTTTTTGAGAATAACACGATGCCTTCTTGTAATATTGTGATTGTTCGTCACATTATATCACTCACCCTTTTCTAATTCTTAAGATTTCGGTACATTAGGGCTTGGTTTCCCTCCATAGTTTATGAATATTCTGTACTTACAGCGGTTTCGGCGGATCACTGGCTAGCAGTGTGCCATCATTGCGTGCCCGATCGTTGGGCTCATCCGGTTCGCTATCCGAATCGCTGCTATCCAAGGGATCCAAGGGATTAATCGGCTGTACCAAATGATTATTCGACTGTGGCAATGCAGCGGCCGGTTTCGATGATGAAGCCGATACTGAAATGCCAGCATTGCCAGTTGGTGGTCCAGATTGTCGATTATTACGGGGCGGCGCCTCCGGCTGTGCCTGCTGCTGTCCTCCGCCCGTAGCAGTCTGTGGCTGCGGCTGTAGAGAGATGACGGCCAATTCATTTAATTGTGCTGCTAACACATCCAAATGATCCTACATTTTGTTTTTGTTTTCAGAGGTTTTGATTTTTTGTTCAATATACACACAGTATTGGAGGGTTTTTTTATTTTTTATTTTGTGTGCGTAAGGGTATGTGTAGTTGTGTGTGTGTATTTGTGTGTGTGTGTGTGTGTGGGGGTGTGTGTTGGTGTATTGCACATTGTACCATTTGTAGTTGTTGTTGTTGATTGGATTGTGGGTTGGGGTTCGTATTCGTTTTCATTTTCGTTGATAAGAGCAAAAAGTAAGAGCAGAATTAGAGTGATATATTTACTTCAATTCGAATCGATTTTCACTTCTTATAAGTATATAGATAAAACACAGGCCAAGCGAAGAGAATGCTATGTTGGTTGAGAAAGCTTGGTTAGTTTTTGTTGTTGTTTTGTTTTCTTTATGGTGTTTTGTTTATCAGAGAAACAAATACATACAATAATGTATTCAATTCAGTTTATTGGTTAGTAAGGGCGCATTATAAACGCATCCATCAACGAAAAGAGTGTTAACAAGACAAGCGACATTTTACGCAATCCGTGGATACATATGTAAGTATGTGTAGAGACTTGATTCTCTCTCTTTTTTCGGTCTACTATACTTTAGGGGGGTTAGTTGAAACCGGAGGAGGGGTTGGTAGTTTGGATTTTTGTTTGTTTGGGTTAATTTTTGGCACGTGCATTTGTTAATGTAGTTGTTGTACCTCCAGTTGTACATTTTACACAGTTTCTTAGTTTTTACATAGTTAAACAATAAAAACAAAAACAAGCAATAAATGTTTATCAGTTTGTTTCAAAAGCTTACGCAACATATGTAAAGGCATGGCGCATACACACAAAAAAAAAAACAAAAAAAAAAACAGAAGAAAGGCGAGCAGGTTGAAACTGATGGATAAAGAAGGAGAAAGAATAAGAAAACATACCTCAGGTCTCCTTGGTGGTAACTGTATGATTGTTGTTGTTTTTGTTATTGTTTATTTGTGTGTGCGTGATTTGGTGAGATAGTTTTTCATTGTTGTCGGAGCAAATCATACGTTGGATTGGCGTAATTGATGGCGCAGGGTGGTGACGATACGTTACACAAATACACATGATTGAAATCATAAATCGATATAATATATATACATATTTCAAACATTATATATGTATATTGATATATGCATATGGTTATGTAGGCGCACAAACACATGAAAATAAAAGAAAGTAAATCATATAAATACAGCTGCTAGCTTAGCCCTAGCATAGGGGCACTTAAAAACTAAAAAGTTCATATTTCGGGGTATTACTATTCTACGTATTGGAACAATATTACAAACATGGATGATAAAACACAGCATGGATCAAATGAAAACTGTTTATTTATACGAATCGTATCGTATTTTGATTTGAAAATCGCCCAGGCAATAAAAACGACCTCAATTATAGAACAGTTTTCTATAAATAAGAACTATTTATAAAAAAAAAACAAATAAAAAATCACAGCACTAATGACATTTGTTTAGTATAAGTTTTTCTTAACGTTAAAGAACTGCTAAAAATCATACATTTTCGCGCTTTCAAAATGTAGAACAAATAAACCAAATTGATTAATTTAGAACCGAAATTTTTAAATACGAGTATGTGTTAATTTCGCAATGAAACTCAGTAACAGGTTTTGGTTTTTCTTAAATTTTCTTATAATTCTCAATTGGATTTAACGTAAAAGTAAAAGTAAGAGCCCTGTGACGTGATTCTACAATAGAGGTTGTATGTTTTAAATACTTGCAAAGTTTGGAAATATAGTATAGAAATATTTATTTCTCAAAATATTATTTTTCCAATTTTAGGAAATATTTTTAAAATCTCAAGGGAAAATTTTGTGAATTTGATTTTAGAAACATACTGATAGTAGTTAAATTTTAGAACGATTTTCTAAATCTTGGTGCATTTTTTTCTCAGTGTAGGTCTCTTGTTCTTGTATTTAAAAGTGTTCTACGCCACCCGACTAACCATAATTTAATGAATAGCTGTATAATTGCAAAGAATTTCCTGCTCTGAATAATTGAGTCCATAATTACGGATTGAATATTTAAGGCAGAAGCTCTCGAGAGAAAAACGATATATAAAGACGAATGGTTGGACAATTTTATAAAAAGACATACTTTTTGGATCTCCCACTATTTGTTCAGCTCGATGCATTAGCGCAAACAATCAGTTTTAACCCAGTAATACAATTTATGTCAATTACGATGTGTACTATACATCTTTAAAAGGATAGGCGCTGAACTGAAAGATTTGAATTTGCTATGAGATAACAAAGTTTATTGCTGTGCCCCCCAGATACTGCCTATCGGAAAACTAAAGTGAATGGGAGTACTATATGTTTGCATTGCATACAGGTATTATTCCAGGAAAGGCTCTCAAGAATACGCACCGATGGCTTGAAGTTATTCTGCGAATTTCGCTGCTGCTGAGCGGGCGTTTGAGCAGCGGGCTCGCCGCATTTCGGAGTCGGTGGCAATGGCCGATTGGCATGCTGTGGATCCGGCACCACAATTAAACGTTGCGGCACTTGTGGGCGCGCCGGTGGACCGGGTTCGTCAATTTGTTGACGCTGAAAACACACACAATTTATAATAAAGAATTAGTGTGTGTAAATGCAAGAAAAAAGAATAATGCATTGGAGACATGGTGTATTGACTTACCGATGGCGGCTTCTGCTGCCGATTAGCCTGCGGTTGTTGTGCCTGCGCCTGCTGCTGTTGCTGCTGCTGCTGCTGCGCTTGTTGCGCCTGCTGAGCTGCAAGCGCCGCCTGCTGCTGATGCAGTTGCGCTTGGGCTGCGGCATGAGCGGCCGCTGCTTGAGCTTGAGCCTGGACCATGAGCTGGTGATGTTGCTGCTGCTGCTGTTCGGCTGCAAGGCGGCCTTCCTGGATTTGTTGAAAGTTGCGACGCAACGTGTCACCACCAGGTGCCTGCACAATGGAGCTCGGCTCACCGGCAAGCTGCGGCTCATCATCATCATTGTCCGAGCCGGAATAGCGATAGTCGTCCTTCTCCTGCTTGCGCTTCTTGCAGCGATCGATGTGATCCTTGAGCTGTATGCGTGACTGGCGATCCGTTGGCTGATCCTTAATGAAGGCATGCTTCAGCAGATTCTCGGTGTAAGGCCGCAGATGATAGTCTTTCACTGTACGCCGAAAAAGAGTCGAGGAAAAAAAGAAAGAGGAAAGAGTTTAGAGAAACTGCAAGCCATTGTTAACTCATGCCACTCCTTCTACTGCAAAGTGAACTTCTTTCTGATCCCTAAACTGCATTTTTTCGATCAACATGCATGCAATCGCAATGCTATTAAATGGATCTCTGACTCACCTAGCACCGTGTCAATGAAACCTTGGAACTTCTTCGACCATTTCTTTGATTTGAGGCGCGGTGGCGAGTTTCGCGGTATCAAGAAGAGCGCGCGCATCGGATGCAAGTCGCATAGTGGCGGCTGTGACTCAGCCATTTCCAGCGCTGTGATGCCCAGCGACCACAAGTCCGAACGATTGTCGTATGTGGCATCGGGATTCTCGTCGCAGGCAATAACCTCAGGCGCCATCCAGTATGGAGTGCCTGGAGGCCAACACAAAAACAAAAACAGAAACAGAACACAAGGAATTAACTTTTATGGCAAATTCTGAATACGGATGACTCAGCAACGCTCACCAATGAATGTGTTGCGTCTGCCTATCGTACGATCCAGTTGCGCTGATACACCAAAATCTACCAGTTTGACTTCTGCATTATCGGTGAGCAGCACATTCTGTCCCTTGATGTCACGATGAATGACTTTATTGGAATGCAAATAGCTAAGACCTCGCAATATTTCGCGACATATATAGGCTATCCATTCCTCTTTGAGACTTTGTCCCTTGGTGGATTTGACCAAGTCGGTTACAGAACCGGCACCACAATACTCCATCACCAGCCAGAGTTGATCATCTTTGCCCGGTGGCGATTTCTTAATGAAAGCACCATAATATGTGGCGATATTTCGATGATTTGAGAATTTCTTAAGCACATTGATTTCGAGCTTGATCTCCTCCTCCTCATCTTCGGTGACATCCATCACCTTTATGGCAGCCAACTGACCAGTTTTTGTATGACGCCCCTAGAAGATAAAAGAAATATAAATGTATGAGTAAATTGTTGTTTCAAGATACGCATAAGAACAACATTTGCGTTCATTTTGTTGGTTTTATAAAACCATCATCTAAATTCGAAAATAAGTTCCGAAACGTCAATAGCTCCATTTAGAGATAGAGATTCATTTTATAATGCTTTTGTTTTTCTTGAAATGCAATTGATTATCCTATCTATCCGCCTGTATTCTAACCGATTAAAAGGCTGATTCAATTATTGAACTCACATATTGTCGCTTAAAACTGTCAAATGTGCTTCGAAAATTAACAACAAGAATAAATATGTTAAAGGACCGATATAAGTGCATATGCACCGATATATGTCTGTTATACGGAAGTGCGCTGGCATTTCTAGTTGTTTCAAGATTAGGATAACTAAACTTTAAAACTTTCAATAAAGAAGTGAATTATCATTTCAGGCTAATAAAATGTAATACAAATGTTTAATATGTATTTCAAATGTTTAATATATATTTCAAATGTTTAATATGTGCAACGTATTGAAATACCAAAACAAAACCTTTGTTTTTCATTATAGAAAAAAAGAAAAAATTTTTATGCATATTGGGCATTGTTTTAATAAAATAATGCATCTAATTAATGACTACAATAATATAATTCAAGTGTTCTGAGGAGCGCAGAGGGCGGAATAAATGAATAACAATTCCGCAAATAAAAATGATATAACTTTAGCGTTATGGGAAGTGCAGAGGAGAGCGGTGCAAAGCAATTTCATTTTTTACATGTTCTCAAACAATTGTTTTCATAATTCAAAGTAAACAAGTCATGACTAGCAACAGGCATGAGAAGCAGGTAGGAAGGCGATAAAACCATCATTTTTTATTCGTTTTCAGAAGATTTCATAATAGGTACGAGTATATGCGAATTATTTCATTTTGTCAATTGATTGAATTCATTTAAGAGGAAAATTTGTGCAATTTATCCAAAAGGTGCACTTGAGTGGAATGCCATTTTTCGCAAGACCAGCAATTTCTGAGCCGGCTGTTTGTTTATCAGTTGGTAAGCGGTTTAAACAAATAGTTTGCAGAGGCTGGCTAAGCTCTGGGCAGGGATAGGTGATGTCGTGGATATAGTTGTATGTGTGTGTGTGTCTGTGTGTGGGGCTATGGCATTGACGCGTCTGCCGTTAATGCACTTCAGTGCACACTTCAGCTGAACGCACTTTGTGTGTGTTTGTATGCGTCTGACTGTGTGTGTGTCTGTGTGTGAGTGTGGCGTTGACAACAATGTCGAGACGAGCCTTGGACAATGACGGCAGCCACATAGGCGTTGGCGTTGGCGTTGGCCTCAAAGTCAACAAACTGTGATTAAAGTAAACAAAAGCGAAACGGTCGATCAGTTGATGCGTTCTTTTCTTTTTTCCTCCTTCTTCTTCTTCTGCTTAATGTAACAATAGAAACACCAAGCTGCAGAAGGAGTCATCATCTACACAACTCATCCGACTCTTAGCAATCGATCCATAGTCACGTCAATCAGGCAGGCGGCAGGCAGCAAAAGCGTAAATATTTATTTCAATTAGCTGGCATTTTAATCAAACTCACAAATTGTTTTTCAAACTGCTTCCAGATTGAGTTGTCTGGCCAGGAACAGAAGAGTCTCTTTAGACCGGTTTGCGTGTCGCTCAAAAGCCATTTTAGTTTTAATACAGTTTTAATTGAAGTCACATCAACAGCCACGCAGGTGCAGTTTTTCACTTTACTGCCTCGGCCGTCTCTTTAATAAAACATAAAATCGTTAACGTCCCAGATGATAACAATTTATTTCAAGATAGAGTGTGCACAAACCCCCAACTATAATGCTACGTGCAGATAGTTTGACATCATTGATTAGACAGCCCCCGGCTGGGGAGTAACAATCTCTGCTGCTGTTGTTGTTGTTGTTGTTGCAGCTGCTGGCTATCAAGAAGTTATTAAACAACGTGATCTAGTTGTCACAGCTTGTTCCTGATGGCAATTTACAATGGGCTTTGGAATGACATATTGCACAGTTTTTGCAAAACTAGATAATGGGATTGGATGCGTTCAACAATATTTTAATGACTCTTATGCAACGATTGTACGTTCTAAGATGAACAGTTTTCAAATGGTTTAATTTGATTAATGCTATAGTTGTTGATGGAATGAGTTAGGATGTTTAAAACAAAGAGACTGGCCAGGACACTCGCTGTTTTTCAATGACCATTCCGTTATGCAAGTTTTTTTTTCAGCAGGTTAAAGATTATCAAATTTCTTATATATTTCTTACATATTTAATTTACTGTATTGATATTGTTTATTTTTTACTTTAAAAATAAAAACTATTTGGAACTCTTTTATTTTCGAAAATTTAGAAGACATTTCAATTTTTGAATCACATACAAAAAGGGACAACTGTTTTTAAAAAAGAATTGTAGTAAGCTTATACAGAAAAGTTGATACAAATAATTATAATCTTCAATTGTGGCAGAATAATAAATAGAGTTCAAAGTTGGAACTTGTTAGAATTCTTTGCGATTTTATGCAGTCACTTATGGGGACCAAAAATTGTCCATCTATATTGTCTATATTTGCAAAGAGTCAGAAATTTAGACCGCAGCATTAATATACTATACGTATTTGTCCCATAGTCCATTTAATAGCCGCTAAATTGCATTCGCTCATCGTTCTAACGGTCAATGCTGTGAAAAATAGTGTGCAGATTTATGCAAATTAATGATGGCTTGATTGCACGCTACGAAAATTGATTGGCCAAAGCTCTGCAGCAGTTGGTTAAAACAAAAAAAAAAAAAGAGAAAGAATGGTGGTGGCCATTAGCGCGATGCTTTCAACATGCTATGCTCCTCCTTGCCCCTCAACTTGACTGCATGATATTCAATAGCAATGCCACTGACTATTGTGGCAATTGCTTCGTCTTAAATGTAATCGAAACCAAAACAATAAATACTGCAGAATAAAGCGATTGCCGCAATTAACACATTATATACACACACATATACATACATACATACATATACGAGTATGCTTATTTATATAGATCTGTACGTTGTTGTGAATCATGCCGCGACCAGAGTGCCGAGCAGTCGAAAGCAAATAGAGCTAAACATAAAGGCAAAACTAAACAAATAAAACGCGCCAGCCAGACAGACAACCAACCAACCAACCAGGCAGGCAGCCACAAGCAACGCGAGACAAGCCTTTGAGGCTTTACCATATAAAGCGCTGAATTTGTAAAATAATCAAAATATGCATAAGAAATGCTTTAAAGGTAAAATAAACAAGAGAAGGCGTCGCCGCCGACGTCAGCGTCAGCTTTACTGCACAGCTGTCCACCATTTGGCCGCCGACTACCTACCTATTAGATACATAAGTATCTACCTATGTGCACTCGAAAAATAAATATTTTTAAAGTGTTGCGCAATGTTTTAAAAGTGTATTAGAACACAAGCTTCTTTAATTAAAAACGCATATTACATTTTTAAGAAAAATCTACAATATTTTGCCCTCCAATAGTTTCAATTTCCAAAAGAAAGGCAGAATGAATAAAATTTCTTGAAACATAACAGCAGACTTGTCTTAACCATATGCAGATCAAGTTTATGGAAAACACATAGGAACGATTACTCAAATGTGGTAATACCTAAGTATTATCAATATCGGCTCAATATATTATATAGCATAGCGATGATTAATGCAAAAATCTATAGTACCAACAACTTATTTGCTTGTTGCGATATCGTAATCATACTATATTTCACTTCATATTTTGCAGATTTTTTATAAAGTGCCTTAAACAAATCGTTGCTCTATATCATGCTTTGTTAAGTTTTAGTTGAGCGAGAGGGATTCTTAACTGATTAACAAACAAGAAAGCGCTTTCTTAATTCCTATCAAAGTTTTACAAGTAGGTTGTATTAAAAGTTAAGAACTCAGTTGTTCTTGTGACGCAGAAAACTTTCTATGATGCAGACTGAATTCATCATTAATCAGACAAAAAACAATAAAGCGGAGGTATGAAATAACTTAAAATTCTTTATTCTAGAATAAATATTTACAAAGAAGAAAAGGAGAAGAATGTTTATAAAGTAGACAGAGAGGACTGCAGATTATTGTAATTTTAAGTTCAATTCGAGTGTGTTTTTTTCCAGGTGCATGCTAAAGTTTTTAGTTTCATGCCAATGTATCTGCTCAAAACAATAAAAATGCTGCTTCGCTATGCTTTGTTATAATTGTTATTGTATATAAGTATACATATATAAATGTGTATACGTTGGTGACGACGGCGCAACAAAAATAAAATCAAGCGTGAAAAAAACGGCAACAATAAAGCAATAAAGTTTATGAAAAACGCGATGATGGAGACAACGACATACAAACATACATACATACATACATATAATGTTGCTGGCATGCAACACCGCAGCAACAACAATAGCAACAGAAACAGAAAAGTGCATAATCAGGCAATTATTGTCATATATGCGCGCACCTCAACGTGATTCGTATTGCAAATGAAAACGCGTCTTGTGAACGACTTGGAAAGGTAACCAAATGAAGGGGCAAGAAAGGGAGCGGGAGCATGTAAAGGTGCCAGTTCCTCACCCCACTCCACTCCAGCCCAAATCCATTCACTACGTCATGGCAAAAAAGAGAAGAAAAATCAGTCAAGTTGCTGAATTGTTGACAAAAAAAAGTCCACAAAAACTGCCAACCAGAGCAAAAAGTGAAAAACGCAGCACCAGCTGACGTTGACATGAAAACCATTTGCTATCTGCTCCCTCACTCTCTCTCTCTCTCTCTCTCTCTCTCTCTCTCTCTCTCTCTCTGTATCTGTCTCGTTCTCTCTTTTTGATAACAACGCGAAAATTTGCCATGGCACAGCTGAAAAAAAAATAACATAATAAAACGAAAACAGTTGGCTACAGCGGTTGTTACATAAGACTGTAATGCAGTCAAGTGGCAAGTGGCCCGCC